CTCCAGAGCCACAGTTTAAAAGCAACAACTCTTCGGTGCTCAGCCTTCTTAATAGTGCAACTGTCACATCTGTACATGACTACTAGAAAAACCATAGCCTTGACTATACGGACATCTGTTGACAAAGTGATGTCTCTGCTTTTTAATATGCTGTCCAGGTTTGTCATAGCTTTTCTTCCAAAGAGCAAGCATATTTTAATTTTGGGGCTGTAGTCACTGTCTGCAGTGATTTTGGACCCAAGAAAATAAAGTCTCTCACTGTTTCCATTGTTTCCCTATTTGCTCTGAAGTGATGGGACTGGATGCCATGATCTTAGTTTTTTGAATGTTGTGTTTTAAGCCAACTTTTTCACTCTCCTCTTTCACTTTCATCATGAGGCTCTTTAGTTTCTCCTCACTTTCTGCCATTAGGGTGGTGTCACCTGCATATCTAAGGTTATTAATATTTCTCCTGGCAATCTTAATTCCAGCTTGTGATTCATTCAACCCAGCATTTCACAAGATGTACTCTGTATATAGGTTAAATAAACAGGGTGACAATATACAGTCTTGATGTACTCCTTTCCCAATTTTGAGCCAGTCCATTGTTCCATGTCCCGTTCTAACTGTTGCTTCTTGGCCTGCATACAGGTTTCTCAGGAGGCAGCTATGGTATTCTGGTATTGCCATTTCTTTAAGAATTTTCCAGTTTGTTGTGATCCACACAGTCAAAGGCTTTAGTGTAGTCAACGAAACAGAAATAGATGTTTTCCTGGAATTCCCTTGCTTTTTCTATGATCCAACAGATGTCAGCAATTTGATCTCTTGTTCCTCTGCCTTTTCTAAATCAAGCTTGTACATTTGAAAGTTCTCGGTTCACATACTGTTTAAGCCTAGCTTGAAGGATTTTGAGCAATTCTGAAATATTGAAAAGTCAAAGGATGGGCAAAAGCACATAAGAAAATTTTTCAAAGCAGAATATTGATCTTAATATCAGATAACATTTATATCAATACAAAGACATTAAATGGGAAGAATATTTATATGAATAAAGTTTATAATTCACACAAAAAAATCTCATAGACACAAATGTTTCTGCACCTTCTAAAAGAGCACCAAAATTTGAGGACAAGCAAAATTAGTGATTGGAGAGGCTCTAATTACCTGTCTCTATCCTCAAAGGTCTAGTAGAGCAGGAAAATATGACTATGGAAAATCTAAGTATCTTAAATAGTAAGATAGAGCTAATTTATTAGTCTTGCAAAGAACATATTTCTTCATTTCAAAACCTCAAAAAGATGCATCAAAAAGTATATCATGATAAATAACCACAACAATAATTATGACTAACATTTCTATAAACCTAAAAAACTTGTCCGGCCATGTTCTAAGCACTTTACAGATTTCAATTTCTTTAGTCCTCATAACAATTCTATGACAAAACTCGAAGCAGAGAAGTTAAATAAGGTCATGTAGCTAGTACATGGTGAAATGGGGTTTGAACTGAGTCAGTCTGGATCCAAGTCCACTTTCTTAGCCAACACCTTAATAACCTCTAAAATGTGGAAGCAATGCAAAGAGACATTCCCTCATCATTAAACTGTAAAACTAGAAATTAAGAATAGAACTAGATAATCCCCCTTAAAAAATTTTTACCCAAATGGGAATTTATAACCTTCTTAAACAGCTATTGATTTAAAAGGGAAAATAAAAGCAGAACTATTTAATATCTAGAATGCAACAGTAATAAAATATTACATATCTGAGATATTTCTAAAACAATATTCTTAGGAAATTTCAAAACCTTAAATATTAACATTCATTAAAGAAAAGATAAAAATACATTACTTGAGCAACCAACTCAAAAAAATTAAAGAACAAACTAAATTTAATGAAAGTATATAGAAGAAATTAGTAAAATCAGAAATTAATTAAATGGGACTTCTCTGGTGGTCCAGTGGCTAAGACTCTGCACTCCTAATGCAAGGGACCCAGGTTCAACCTCTGGTCATGGAAATAGACCCACATCCTAATCCTGCATGCTGCAACTAAAGATCCTGCATGCTGCGACTAAGACCAACCAAATAACCAAATAAATAAATGAACAAAAATAAATATTTATAAAGAAACAAAATCTTTTTTAAAAATAAATTAATTAAATGGGAAAAAGTTATAAAACCAAAACCTAAAAAAAAAATCCAAGAGCTGATTATTTAGGGGAAAATAGATATACCATTATCAAACTTAACCAAAAAAAGAGGTGGAGGGAATGGGGAGAGAAAAATCAGAATAAGAAATGAGAATGAAGACATACCAAAGATAAAAGGAAACAAATAGTTAAAAGATTATTTTGTTTCAATATGTACAAATAAAATTTTAAACCTGAATAAAATGGATTGTTTTCTAGAAAAATATCCAAGAAAACTGACCCTAGAGGAGCTAAACTACATACACAAACAAATTAATATAGAAGAAACAGAAAATATCAAGAGCTATCACACACACAAAAAAGCACCAAGCCCAGAGGACTTCACAAATGAGTTCCATCATCCCTTTAAAGAACCTGTTTCCATTTAAACTGCCCCAGAGCACAGCGTGAGGAGGAAACCTCACAAATACTAAAATGAAGCCAGTAGAACATTGATTTAAAAACCCAAAGGAGTGCCCATGAAGGGAGTGGAGAGAAAAAGAAAATACAGACCAAATTCTCTTAATTTCAAACACTGAAAATCCTAAGTGAGATATTACCAATAGAATCTAGCTGAAAGTAGAGTCCATTCTCCTTGTTTAGTCACTCAGTCATGTCCGACTCTTTGTGACCCCATGGACTATAGCCCACCAGGCTCCTCTGTCCATGGGATTTTCCAGGCAAGAATACTGGTTGCCATTGCCTTCTCTAAGGGATCTTCCCTACCCAGGGATGGAACTCGCATTCTTGTGTCTCCTGCATTGGCAGGCAGATTCTTTACCACTGAGCCACCAGGGAAACCCAAGTTGAATTCATACCGGGGGTGGGGAGGGGCGGGGAGAGTGGTTTAGGGACTTCCCTGGTGGTTCAGCGGCTAAGACTGCACTCTCAAAGCCAGGGGCCCAGGTTCCATCCCTGGTCAGGGAACTAGATCCCACATACTGCAACTGAGACCTGGCACAGTCAAATAAATAAAAAATAATGAATATTAAAAATAAAGGTTTAATAATAGGAAAAGTATGAATGTAATCATATAAACCAGTGATCAATAAAGGAAAGCATATGGCTATATCCCAAGAATTCTACATAGGAATTTGACAAAAATTCTACATTCATGCTTTTTAATGATGAGATTATCATTTAAATGATACTCATAATAAAATCATACTCAAAAATTTTGCCACAAAAATTTCTGCTTAGAAAGCAATCATTGAATTATTCAAATAATTCAATCTAAGATGAGTTAAGAGATATGGGAAATGAAAACCATTAAATAATTGTTAAAGGATTAAGGAAAATTCAAAAAGAGTCTCATAGAACTAAATTTATAATATCATAGAACTAAAATTCAAGACAATATCAACATGGTGAGATGTGGGGAGAGAGCAAAGGGAGAGAGCAGCATGAAATATTTGTCTGATTAGACAGAAAAGATGGATCTTCAGCAGGCTTCCCTGGTGGCTCAGCGGTAAAGAATCCACCTGCAATGCAGGACCCCCAAGAGATGCAGGTTCAACCCCTGGGTCAGGAAGATCCCCAAGAGGAGGGCATGTCAACTCATTCCAGTATTCTTGCCTGGAGAATCCCATGGACAAAGGAGCCTGGCGGGCTGCAGTCCATGGGGTTGCAGAGAGAGTCAGACAGGCCTTAGCACGAATGCACGCGTAGATCTTGAGCAGCTCATTCTACTCGTCAATGCTTCAGCAACTTCCCCGCTTTCTTTCTCCGCTGGTGTTGAAGGGAGAGCTCGAAGTCGGGATGGAAAAGTGGAGAAAGTGAGTGCTGAATTGGACATAGTATTGAACCCCTAATGCCCCAGGCCAGAAAAGTGAAGTCGCTCAGTTGTGTCTGACTCTTTTCAACCCCATGGACTGTAGCCTGCCAGGCTCTTCCATCGATGGGATTTTCCAGGCAAGGATACTGGAGTCGGTTGCCATTTCCTTCTCCAGGGGCTCTTCCTGGCCCAGGGATCAAACCCAGTCTCCCACACTGCAAGCAGACTCTTTACCATCTGAGGTCAGAAACCACCACGATAATAAGAGATACATACACACATACACACACACACACGCACATGCACACACACACACACGTACTCAAAAGAATAGGCTCTCTGCCTCCCAAAATTCTTATCAAAACAAAAGCTTGAGATTTGCTTACAAGCCGTTGTCCTGTCTGTCAAAGAGCATCCTCAATGTCTCCAAGTCAGAATGGCCCTAGACACTGGCTTTATTTTATTTTATTTTATTTTATTTTATTTTAACTGTTGAAGGTGGGTGCTGGGAGTTTATTATTGTATACATTTAAAATTTTCCATGATAAAGTCTACTATATCAAGTAGGGATTTTCCCCCTAAATTTTTCTTAGTAGATCTAATCTTTTTTTTTAACCTTTTCTTCACTCTGGTTACTCCAAATTATTTTTATCCTTCTTCTAATGCACATGTCAAACCTATAACCTTAAGGTTCCAATCAATCCAGAGTATTGGCTGAAACGTATTCTATAGATCCCAATGATGATCCTTACATCATATTAAGTACATGTGCTTTTGAACCTTTCATAAATATGACTGTTAAAGATGATAAATGTGCTTCTGTTGGAAAAAGTTAGTCATCTTTGGTACTCAGCAAGGTTATTCTAAAAATACTTTCGAAATATACACAACATTTTTCATTGCCATGAAATTTTATCAGAAGGAACTTGGAATTACTTTGAAGACTCCAGTGGCATAAAAGTCAGAGTCACACTTAAAAGGCTTATTAGAAAGAGTCACATAAATATTCCCATTGTCCACTGTCACTGTGTGAATCCTTAGCTTTATTCCTTTGGAGCATCACATGGGTTTTGCTGATGGGTCTTTAGGACTTATAGACTGATACAGTCCTTGTCCTGTTTCCAAAGTAATTTTGTACTTATGCCAGGGGCAAACTATACATGCTCGTCCATCAAATTCCTCGATTTCTCCCAAATGTAAAGGTCCTCCTGACTGGTAACAGCGAATATCCATAGCATGAAATTCTCCTTTGTGGTAGAAAAGGACCACTTCCCTGTCATGGACAACAGCTGTTATTCTTTCAGATCTTTTAATGTCTTCTTCTCTGCCCACATAGACAGAAGCATATTGCTCCTTTGTTTCAGGATCTTGTTCAGAATCATCAGGATCCATGCTTCCCCGACCCCCTGCCCCACCTCCGCGAGACCCGGCCGCAGCGCCCCCGTGTGAGGATACTGAGCCGGCCAGGGAAACCGCGGCGCTCCGCATGACGGGGCGGGGCGGGGCGCCGCCGCCCCGACACTGGCTTTAAAAGTGTGAATTCCTGGGTTGCATCCCAGACTTATTAAATGCAGAGGAAGAGGAGGTTTCCCAGCGGACCCTGTGTGCCCTGAAGTTCAAGGCTAACCAACCTAATGCTGCTATCCTTCTAGAAATGGCAATCTCCAATAAGCCACTACTCCTGACCCAAGAGGGTGCCAGATCCTGAAAAACAGGAACCCTAGAGATCCTTGGAGATCCCCCAGGACCCTTCCTCTCCTTGCTGGAGAGGAGATCGAGGCCCAGAGAGGGGGAGTGGCTGGCCAAGGGCCATACAATGAAGTCACAGCAGATTGACCCTTGGACTTGGGTGTCCTGACTAAAAGCTAAAATTTAAAAACAAAATAGGCTTCTCCAAGTTTATAAGGTTCACTCCAGTCACATCAGCTGACACAGGCAGGAAGGGTGATCAGGAGAGCATCTCAGCAGGCCCTGTAGAGTGTGCAGGGAGCAACTGGCGGGGTTGGGGGGGGGGGGGGCTGTGAGCCCCTGCAGCTGCTCTGGCGACACTCGTCCTGCCGTGACATCAGCCCCAGGCCACATATGTCAACCTCCCTCTGTCTCGTTGGCATCTCTCTGCCTCCCCCTTCCTCCTCGGCAACTACCACTTTTACATCTCATTGAGTTCTCATGCTGTCTACCTCACATTCAGAATTCACTGAGAAGGGTCTTGTTGACTTGGTTAGAGACCATCCTGTAAGGAGCACCAGAAGTGGACACGTCTCTCACCCAGCTATCCTCATAAGCCACTGGTCTTCCTTATGTCCAGCCAGGTGACAGCTCTCTCTGGATAGGACCCAGGCTTCCTCACCACATACGAGTGGCCAGAGGAACAGGGCCATCTGACGCAGTCAGGAACTTGTGCGTTAAGAGCCACTGTGACCTCTTTTCTCGGAAGGAAGCTACAGGCCTGGCACCTGGACTCCACTTCAGTCCATTGTTCTCCTGCCTATGAGCCCTTAGGCACATAGGACAAAGCTCCAGCTAGAAGGGACAGGTGGCATAGAGTGGAGGCTTGGGGTAGGATTGCCAAACTTGGCCAATAAAATACACAACACCCGGTTAAATGTGAATTTAAGAAAAAATGATAAGCAACTTTTCAGTATGAGCTGGTCCCATGCAGTATTTGAGTATATACTTACACTAAAAAAATTATTCACTGCTTATCTGAAATTTAATTGAGCAACTTGCATTTTATCTGGCAATCCTATCTAGGAGCGCAGGAATCCAATCTGTTTTGCTCACTGTTGAAGCTCAAGTACCTATCACATACAGTTCTTGTTGGAATATTCAATTATTGAAGAAGACCTCTCAGAGGTCCCTCCCTCCCCACTAACAGTAAACATATCCCCCAGGGACCAACTTTGAACAGACAAATTGACTCATTCAATTTACCAAACTGGAGCACTTAGCAAGTGTCAGGATCTGTGCTAAATAAATTGAGATACAGAAATAAACTATGGCTCCTGTCCTCAAAAATGGTAATTGACCAGAGGGAGCAATCGATCAAAGCAGAGAATTACAATCAAGTGTGATAAATGCTAGACAGCAAAGGCCATTGAGCCAAGGCCAGGCGATTTTACTCACCACCATATCGCCAAAACTTATACCATAGCAGGCACTCAAGAAATAGTACCGGGATGAAATCACAAAAAGACGAAGATATGAACTTTATCATGGGGTCCACAGAGGCATGGCGATTAACCGAGGGAATTGTCGTGGCGAGAAGGTGGGGCTCACTTGAGGAAGGAGGTATCATTGATGTGGATTATGATACAGGAGCACAGCTGGCAGACAGAGAAGGAAGAGCGTTCCTGACAGAGGGACAGCTTGAACAGGAAGAACACTCCAGTGAGCGAGGAGTGATTCCAAGGGCCAAGAGATAAAGTCAGACAGGCGGAGCACCTCAAACACATGCCCAGCGAGTTTGGACTTTACCCTGTGGATGGTGGATGGCCATCAGACACTTCTGAGTAGGGAAGATGGCTTAATTAATCCTCCAGCATTAGCACTAGAGTGGAGACAGACTGGAGGCCAGAAGGGCAGTGAGAAACAGTGAGAAATAACCTAAGCTGGAGGTGATGGAGGCCCGAACCTGCAAGTTATGAAGCATGTTAGGAAACAAGCCTGCAGGGCTACAGACATGTACTGGAGAGCACTGTGAACGCCCGCCTCTGTCCCTTCCCCGTTCCTAAGTGCCCTCTAAGAGGGGAGGTGGCCCATCAGTGGGGGCAACTGGGGAGGAAGGGGAAGTGGGAGGCAGCCCAAGACAAACTTCCTTCACTTCACAGCCTCGCTTAAGCAGAGAGCAGTGCCCAAGCCGTTGGAGGGGGACTGCCAGCCCCCTGGGCTCTTCCCTCCTGCAGCCAGAGAGAGGAGAAGGGCCTGGTTGACACAGCTCACGGCTCTCTGTGGTCCACAGGTGGGGCCTTACCCTCTGTGGGACCCCCACATGCCCAGTAAGCCATGCTTCCTGCTGAGGACAGGAAGTTCAGTCACAGGGACAGCAGCCCTCACCTTCCTGGAGATGGTCCAAAAGAGAGGCTCCAGAGGGATCATCAGCTCCAGCCAGAGGAGAGCACAGGAGGTCAACCAGTTCAGTCTCAGGCCCAGGAACAGGCCTCAGGCCCTAGGTGCATCCCCCACCACCTCTCCAGATGCCTCTCTGGGTGTCCTGCTGGTCTATCTTGTCTGCTTCTAGAACTACCAGCCTCTGTATGTATAAGACATAGGGTCTAGAGTTAGACTAACATGGGTTCAAATTCACGCAGATGTGTGACATTGTGTAAATTGCCTCAGCTCCATGAACATTTTTTTTTGTTTGATAAATAGCATATATTTTAAAAACCACCTTGATTTAAATAAAAGATCCCACTTGCACAAACTCAAAGCAATGTCTGGCATATAGCTGGAATCCCTATAAAAGCCTGGCCCTGGGACTCCCCTGAAGGTCCAGTGGTTAAGAATTTGCCTTCCAATGCAAGGGATGTAGGTTCAATGCCTGATGGGGGAACTAAGATCCCACATGCCATGGGGCAATTAGGCCCATGCGCCGCAACCGGAGAGAGTCCACAACTGGAGAATCCACACATCTCAATGGAAGATCCCACAGGCAACAAAGATCCTGCAACTAAGACCCAGTGCAGCAAATAAATAAATAAAAATAAATATTTTTTCCCAAAAAAATCCTGGCCCTTTCTTTCCTGAATGCATGGGGAGTGCTCATCTGTAGCCCCAGAGGATAGCCTAGCCCTTTCTTTATTCAGTCACTCTGCTTGTCTAATCTGTCCCTACTCTCCTGGGGGAGATAGATATTAATTTAATGATCACTTAAACAAAAGTAAAATTCTACCAATAATAAGTACCATGAAGGAGGGAAACTCATACACTGGTAGTTACTGTGAACATGTTTTTTTGTTTGATAAATAGCATATATTTTAACAACCATCATGATTTAAATAAAAGATCCCATATGCACAAACTCAAGACAATATCTGGCATATAGGGAGCCTGGGGCTGGCTCCCTTGGCACATTCCAGGCCAGGGGGAATGCTGGCACCTTGCTTTCCTGTTAACTGGTTTCCCAGAAGTTCCAGTTCCCCAAAACAAATGTATACAGAATAGGGAAATGGGGAGGGGAAACCTGGTTTGTCCCCAGGTCCAATCCTGAACCAGATTCCAAAAGCCGATCCCTACCCTCAAATACATAAGGCCCCTGTCAGGCAGCAGCCTCCTCAGCAGCACCCAGCAGCCTCCCCGGGGAAAACAGATGCTGCTATAGCCCCACCATGAAAGTCCTCTGCTTCCTGCTTATGGCCAGCTTGGCCGCCACCTCTCTCGCCATCCTTAACGGTGAGTCTGGCTTCCATCAACCTTCCCCTGTACCCTGGGGTCATTGAGCTGTGGCTGGAGAGACCTCAGTGCTCCAAAGGCCTTTCCTTAATCCTTGTGATGTGTTGTGTGAAGAGGTCAGGAGATGCAGTCAGAACCAAGCATTCACACCTGGATAAACTTAGGGACAGAGGCAGGGGGCTAGGACACATGACTCCAGGAATCCTGCACCCTAGAAAGCCTGAGGCTGGGATGAGAGGGGCCAAACTGAACCCAAATCAAGGCAGACTATGGGTCAACAGAGATTCAGATTAGATTCCAAGTTCAGATGATGCTGGAAACCCCCGGTAGAGTCGCTACCCCTACGTGGAGCTTTCTGCCTTCCTCTGTACAGTGAGGCCAAGACATAGACACACATACATCCAACAGCTATTTATTGAGCACCTAATGTATTCCAGACACATAGTTCTAGATGCTTGGAATACACTCTCAAAATACAGAGATCTCAGTCATCATTGAGATTACAGCCTAGGGGAATAAACCAACAGTGAAGTGAAGTCACTCAGTCGTGTCCTACTCTTTGCGACACCGTGGACTGTAGCTGACAAGGCTCCTTTGTCCATGGAATTTTCCAGGCAAGAGTACTGGAGTGGGTTGCCATTTCCTTCCCCAGGGGATCTTCCCGACCCAAGGATCGAACCCAGGTCTCCCACATTGCAGGCAGACACTTTACCGTCTGAGCCACCAGGGGGTAAACCAACAGTAAGCACATTAGATAAATGCCAACATGTTAGAAGTGCGAAGGAAAAACATAAAACATGGTAAGGGAGAGGAGAATGCTGGGGCAGAAGGGGCTGCATAAGAGCATCTCACATGTTAAATGTCTTCAGAACTTCGGGAAATTTAACCCTCTTATTTTTCAGAGCCAGAAGATGAAACCCACCTGGAGGCACAGCCCACAGATACCTGTAAGTCTCACACTGGCATCTTTTAAAGTAAGTCAGTGGTGGTAAAAGATTGTTCAGTGAGTGACGAACAATGACAAATTCTCCATCTGAGAAAGAGGTGGAGCAAAGACAATCCCTTCTGATGTTGGATCTTAATCCTTCCTACAGCACTAACTGGCCAAGCTTTAGGGGCCAGAAGCTCTATGAACAGCACTTCATGCTGGTTAGTCATGGGAGATGGGTGTGGGGACTACATCTCATTCCTGAATGCTAGCAGGTGAGGAGTTTCAGCGCACCCTGAGGTGAGGATGCTACTGGGGGCTCCTCAGTCCCAAGCTCCCTACCCCACAAAAACCTTGAACATTGCAGGATTCTGCTTTGTGAATTACCCATAAATATGGTTTAATCTCAGGCTAACTTCCTACACACACACACACACACACACACACACAATTCACCTGGCAAAAGCCAGAGAAGGCAGACTCAAGCGATACCCAAAATTCAGGAAAAAAAAAAAAGAACCAATATTTACTGAACCCCCTCCTATGTGCCAGACAATGGGACAGGTATTTGCATAGCTATTCTCTTTTTGTTAAGAAGGTAAATTTGCTAAAAATGTAATTCCTAGTCAAAGGCATCCAAAACCAGGTGCTTGTGGATTTGGATGCCGGCATGGGACATCAACTCTGCTGTGTGATAACTGGGCAATGACTCAACTCCGGTGGCCACCAGTGTTATGGGAGATAACACAGCCCTGACTGGCTGCTCCTCACCATGAGCTCTTTCTCTGCCCTCATCTCCTCCATCATCTTGCTCCCAGCTGCTCAGTTCATCATGAGAAACCTCCAGATCTCCAATGAGGACCTTTCTAAGGAGCCTTCCATCTCCAGAGAAGAGTTGATTTCCAAAGAGCAAAGTGTGATCAAATCTTCCAGGAGACCACAGAATCAGAATCCCAAGCTGCCTCTGTCCATACTCAAGGAGAAACATCTCAGAAATGCTGCCGTTGAATCAGAAGAGACTACAGAACACACTCCCAGTGCTGGTAGGAGCTAGCGGAAGGGGTTAGGGGCTGGGCAAACAGTAGCAGCAAAAAGGGGTGGAAGTGGTTGGGTCAGAAAGAGAAAGCAAGCTGCAGCAAAAAGGAGTGAGAGAGGAATTCAGAGAATAGCATTGAAATATTACACTACCATACATATGTATACCTATGGCTGATTCATGTTGATATATAGCAGAAGCCAATACAACCTTGTAAAGCAATTCTCCTCCAATTAAAGATAAATGAAAAAAAATTTTTTTAAGAAATGAGAGTTAAAAACAAGTCAAAGAACCCATTAGTTGCCTTTGCCAGTGCTGTGGGAAGCTGTCGCTAGTGTGTAGGGAAGTGCTGAAGGTGCAGGGGAATAGCTCTACCCTGACTTTTCTCTCCCAATATTCCCCAGCATCCACCACAGAAGGAACACTGATGGAGCTCGGCCATAAAATCAGGAGGAATCTGGAAAACATAGTGGAAGAAATCATAAAATATCTGAAAAGCCTATTCCCTCATGCCTCTGAAGTCGTGAAGCCATAGTAATGGGGGTGCCCACAGCCCAGGCGGGCTGCTGCAAGTACCTGTAGCACCCACACCGCTTGGACCATCACCACCACCTCTCAGCTCCTCAAGTCCTTTACTAAAGCATCGCATCCCCAGCCTGGCTCTGTGCTGGCTTTGTAGCACCAGAAAGGAAGGCCCAAGGCCCCCACTCTACTGGGATTCTTCCTTTAGTCACCCCATTCCTTTGATTTTAAACTCCTCCCCCTCCTCCTCCATCAGTCTCTGGGTGGGGAAGATCCCCCAGAGGAGGGCATGGCAACCCACTTCAGTGTTCTTGCCTGGAGAATCCCATGGACAGAGGAACCTGGCAGACTATAGTCCATGGGGTTGCAAAGAGTCAGACACGACTGAGCAACTAACGCACACTTACTTACTTGCGTACTTCCTCCTCAGTTTACAAATGTGTTCAACTCTCCACATCCCAAAATATTCTTTGTGAAGTCTTGGCTCTTCTCTCCAGCTGCCCCTCCACCTCACGCACCACTGCCCCCAGGCTCCCTCACCCACCATGCCCACCTCACTCGCCTGCAGTCTGCCTTGCCCACCCACCAGCCTGCAGCAACTGCTCTCCCAAAGCCCCCTGAGCCCAGTGAACCCTGTGACTGTTTCACAGTGCTGACACTTTTCAATCTGTCTGTAGAACTGGATAGAACATTCTAGAATGTTCTTCTCAGGGAGATGCTGCACTGGCCTGGTTCTCCAAGCTCCAGGTTCAGGTCCCTGCACATTCTCTGACTGCATTCTGTGCTCCCAGGCTCCATCCAGTGCCTTCTCATTCCTTTTTCACTTTTCTTCCTCATCTATACCTTCATCTGCCAAGACTTCTGCTTCAACTCAGGGTGGGCGACTCCATCCATACACATAACAAACATTCACCAAGTGCTTCCTACGTGCCAGATTCATCTACAAATGTGTGCCAATCTCCCTCAACTGCAGCCAGTTTTCACTGTCAAGGCATATGGAACTCATTGTGGGGGAAAGAGGATGGGAAAATAAAGTAATAAATCTCTTTTTTCTTGCAACTGGAGAGAAGACTCTTCACTCCAGGACAGATAGGATGACAGGAAGGAAGACATGAGATAATAGAAAATGTGTATATTGGTCTCTGCCCCTGGTTCTTGGCACAGAGCTCCTGAAACCCTCATAACTTCCTAGGTGATGAGCACATTTATTTAGGAGCATCTCTTATTCTAACATTTGGTCTTTGGCTCCATCTATGACACAGGGTCCCTAAAACCCTTGTAAATTCCTAAATGATAAGGGCACTAGGAACATCTTTCGTTGTATTGAGGCAACTCTGGGTGAGCTTCTGGATGGCAAACCATGGTTAGAAGCTGGGAATTTTCAGCCCCGCCCCCTACTTGTCCAAAGTGAGGGTAGGGCCTGGAAATGGAGTTAATAATTGATCATGGCTATGTGAGGAAGCCTCCATAAAATCCCGATAGTGCTGGATTCAGAGAATTTCCAGGTTGGGAACACATCCACGGCCCAGGAGGGTGTGCAGCCCAACTCCATGGGGATGGAATCTCCTGCCATCAGGACCCTCCCAGACCTCGCCCTGTGTATCTCTCCACCTGGCTGTTCATCAGTATCTTGTATCACCTCTTTTAATAAGCTGATAAATGTGTTTTCCTAAGTTCAGACATCAGGGCCATTGTGTGTCCAGAATCTAGTGCATGGCTATTTGTAATGGTTTTTTCCAGGGCTAGGGTGGAGGCCAAGAAACTCTTAGTGAGAGTTCAAGGTACAAGAGAAAGATATTGTAGAAATGCCTCCTAAGTGCATTCTCCACAGAGGCTCTCTAGTGCTGCTGCACGGGGAAGAGCCTGTCTGGTCGGTGCTCCTCTTGAATGTGATCTTCAGTCGGCTGCTCATGGCAGAACAGGAGCAGAGAGCTAGCTTACTCAGTCAGGGCAGAATACAGTTGGAACACAAGAGGTGATGGCCAGGCATCTCCATGACAGTTTCCTCCTGACCGGTGGGGGCCCTGAGCTCAGCCAATCAAGTTGCCAGTGCTTGCGCTGCACCACACGAGAAACTCAGTTGTACCTGGGACACTAGCACCTCACCAGAATGCTCTCAGTCCATGCCATCTCTTTCCCAACACGTGAATTTAAACTCCAACTGTGAGAAACCTCCAACTGTTACCGAGCCCAAGCTCTTTCTGCTAGCCACATGACAAGCCAATGAATCAGAGACAAGGTGTGGAGTCAGCTCACCAAGAAGATGGCAGACTGATGTCTCAAAATAACTACCTTATCGGGGTCTGGATGCCAGGTTCTTTTGCAGATCAGAGATGGGGGGAGGTGAGGAAATAAATAAAGGTCATTAATCTTGTATATATCTCCTAGAATGGCAAGGGGAGGATGTGGGGAGGGGAGAGGGATGGGTTAGCTTCTTCCTTCCTGCCATCTACAGGTAGACAGGGTTCTGAAGAAAGGCACTTTAGTGTAACAGCCAAGCAGACTGGCTGGATTCTGAGGCAGACCATTATATGTGATTATAATAACAAAAGCAATGGAAAGCAAGTTAAAGAAACAGTTCCAACCTGGAGTCAGAATTGGCTTTTCTCTGCAACACAATGAAGGATTGATTTTGGTGTTAATTTTGCCATAGCGGGATGAGGGCATGCCTACTATGTCTTCTCTCAAAGAGGGGCACTTCAGACATTTCTGTCATCCTGCGATACGTAGAAATTTAAAATAATTCTGCTGGTAGTCCCAATTTAACTCAGATGTGACTACATCTATTTCTTGCCTGCATGAATTCCCCTTTGAGTATGTTTCACCTTCTCAGTGACTATGTGTCCTGACTCCACAAATTCCTGGGTGTGGGCTTGGGCAATACACACACCACTCAAATAACCGTGTTCGTTTAAAGTTATCTACCTAATGACACTCACACTGCTCCCACCAAACCACCTGGTCCTTCCTCCCTCTTGCTGGGCAACTGTCTACACTAGTTTCCTGGGTCCATGCTCCCTCTAGCGGTCTGACTCCACTTTGCATTGTCGAATCTGCCCATTCGTCCTCCTTGATCTAGAAATGAATACTGTGCTCTTTTCTAGTTCCCCCTTAAAATCATTGATGTGTGAAAATATCCCCTTTTTCTCTTCATACATCTCAATCACGCTCTCTAAAAACTCAACATTTTTCTTAAGAAAATCTTCTCTTTTCCCCTCGTTTGAGCAATAGAACTTCCTTCTTTATCTCCTTCCCCTTACTTGCTGACTTTTCTCACTGCGAGACCAAGACTTGTATCTCACATGGACCCCATGCCTGCCTGATTTCCTGAATAAGTCTGATTTCTAGAGACAGAATGTTCCAGGTACAAGATTTGTTCATTTCTCTCTTATCTTTCAGTTTGTGATAATTCCAAATTGAGTTTTTTTCCACTTTCACACATATTGGCATTTCCTCCATATGAAGGGTCCTGGTCTTCTTATCAGTATGAGGTCCACCACACCTCTGTGGTTAACCCCACAGCAAGTTGCACAACATCTGAATACACAGGCCTAACTTAATAAAGATACAACTCCAAGCCAAGTTGAAACAATGTACCAGGAAATAATTCTAGGAACCTGGGGACAGGTTCCTAAGGAAAACCCCTCCATGGTTCCTTCTGTGACCCTAAGTGAAATTCATAACAGCATAGATAATCACGATCTGGGACACCCAACAGAGCATCACTTACTAAAGATTAGCACAAATAATCTGAAGTAAAATTTTAAGTCTTGGGCTCTGTACCCACATGGAACTATGATAATTTCTTTCCAGCTTCAACTGTACCTATAAAGCTTCAGGCCAGAGGAAACTTCAGAGCCTTTTGCCTTTTTGAATCCACTGTACTGGGTCCTCATGGGCTTCCCCATGGCTCAGTTGTAAAGAATCCACTCGCAATGAAGGAGACTGAAGAGATGGGAGTTTGATCCCTGAGTCGGGAAGATTCCCTGGAGGAGGCCATAGCAACCCACTCCAGTATTCTTGCCTGGAGAATCCCATGGACAGAGGAGCCTGGCGGGCTACAGAGTCCATGGGGTCGCCAAGAGTCGGACACGACTGACGTGACTGAACACACACACGCGCAGGTACTGGGTCCCCAAAGGCCAGTCCTTGATTTTACCATTAGGGCCATAGGAAGGCCCACCGTGTTGTCATCCCTCCCCACTCTGAATCTGGTCAGTGGAGAAAACAGCCAGAGAACAGAGGGCAGAAGGGAGACAAAGTATCAGGGTTTTTAAAGACTGTACCAGTGCCAGACAACCCACAGCACTCTGACCTCCCTGGCCAGCTGAGCTGGAGAGTACAACTGAGACAGAAGAGGGGCAGGGGCCTCCTCTCCTTCCTGCCTGCCTGAGCCTCTGCACAGAGAGGAAAATAGCAGGCCCTCGCAGGGAGAGGCAGGGTGGGGAAGCCTATCCGAGGCTGTATGCTTGCATTAGGAGAGGGCAGCAGAGAAAGAGACAGTGCTATTCCGGAACATTCCTTTTTCCGCATTAACTCCACTCCTGGGTGAAACGTGGACCGAGAAATGTTCTGCCTTACCAGCTGCCATAGAGTCTCATCCCACAGCCACCAAGAGAAAAATTTTTTCATCTTGTATTAGTTTTCTCTTTTTTGTTGAAGCATAGTTGATTAACAATGTTGTGTTAGTGTCTGGTGTGCAGCAAAGTGATTCAGGTTGATATATATAGATATGTATGTACATATATACACACATATACAGCGGCTGCACTTTGCTGGAGCAGCCGTGAAGAGATAACCCCTGTCCAAGGTAAGAGAAACCCAAGTAAGACGGTAGGCTCTGAGTGAGGGCATCAGAGGGCAGACAGACTGAAACCACAATCACAGAAAGTTAGCCAGTCTGATCACATGGACCACAGTCTTGTCTAACTCAATGAAACTAGGCCAAGCCATGTGGGGCCACCCAAGACAAACGGGTCATAGTGGAGACGTCTGACAGAATGTGGTCCACTG